TATAATCAGATTTAGTTATTTTAGTTATGAAAAGACTTCTAAAAACCAGATTTGAAAAACAAATCGGATTTACACACAGTTTGAACAAAGTCTTTGATGTGTGACTTGACAAAATGGGCCACAGCTGAGAATGCTGGCGGTTGTGAGGGATGCACTTTTAATGAGAGTTTTATGTTAATTATGTACTGCAACTTTGGAGGTGATTTGAGGACACATTACAGAGGGAGGAAATCTCAGCTAGCTGTTACATGGTAGTGCTTTAAATGAGCAGTTCATACATCTGACATCATAAAGAGATGATTTGGCCATGAAATGGGGCATTAACTCTATGATGGTACATGAAGAACACATCATCTGATTGGTCCCAGAGGGAAAAAGAGTTTTAAGCACACTAAAGGAATGTACGACAGAGCAGGGGTACAACATGTTGTCAGGTGAAACGTCTCCTCCTAGACACAAAGATTGTAGCATTTGCAATTTTTTTTGGAAATTTTTTTACATTTTATTCAAGGACATTCAATTGATCAAAAGTAACAGTAAAGATTTTACAGTGTTACAAATAATTTCTGTTAAAAAAATGCTATTTTTCTGAACTTTTATTAAAAAATTGTGAAAAAGGTTTCCACAAATATATTAAGCAGCACAGCCATTTTCAAGCAGCAAATCAGCAAATTAGAATGATTTATGAGGGATCGTGTGAAGACTGGAGTAAGGGCTGCTGAAAATTCAGTTTTGCCATCACAGGAATAATTTACTATTTAAAACATACTAAAATACAAATGCTATTTTAAATTGTAATAACATTTCATATGTTTTACTATATTATGATCAAATAAATGCAGCCTTTGTGAACATAAAAGACTTTCAAAGTTTGCTTACTTAAATATTTTATTAAATAAATATGAAAAATATGTGTTTTCCACTTTCATTTCACCGTGGGTACAATGAAGTTGTTTAAGTTAAGTTTGCACAACATGACTAAAATAGCAAATCCATTCAAATAAATTGTTGGTTGCTCAACAGGCTTAACTGTTTGGAAAAGTTTTCCTCAATTTAATTATCCTCAGTTATTTTCAGAGTTCATAGTTATGTTTTGTTTATATAATTTTTCCTCTAGCAGCACTTAGTCCTTTAGTAAATTAAAATATGAGCAATTATGCCAATCGTGGTTTAGTCAAATGTAATCAGAGACAACTGAATTTTCTAAGTTGTGAAAATGTTAATGGGAGAAACTGAAACGGTAAGTGTGGTACATGTCTCCTAGGTGGCCACTGAGTGAAATGACTTGACATAATGATACTCTTTGCAGTTCACAGAACACTGCTGCAAAGGCCAGCTCCGGTCATCATTCATTACAATCATCATTTGCTTTATTATTGTAACATGCCAACAGATTTCATGCAAATTAAGAGAGTGGTTACTGACCACATGGTACATTTGGAAGCATTTTATTGCTTTGGAAATGCCATCCAAGTGCCATTCAGTGTCAGAATGATGGAAAAATCATTAACTGACGTAATGTCTGAATGGCGACCAGTGCCAGACCTGTTGGGAGCAAACTAACATTAACACGGCTGGCACACAGGATACATTATGTCTACTTGAGTTAAACAGTTCAATACTCTTCCCACCAAGACTCATGCTGATGCAAATAATTAACCAGAGCAGCTAATATAGAAAGGGCAGACAGGCTTAGGCAGCATGACTCACGTTTGACGGTGTGTATGACCAAGTATAATAGGATTTACAGAGTGACTTGCTGTTTCTTCCATCCACTAGTCAAGCTAAGCACTGGATAACTAAAAATAACTCTACAGCAGAATCTTATTTTAAGTTCTTTTCACCCAAAACTAATCTTGAAATTGAAAAGATTGGATCAGCTTAAACAAAATGGTATTCCTGAATTTATACATCAGAAAACAGAGTGTAAACTCTCAAACTGACTAGGCACTGATTAAGAGCAGTAATTTGAGGTTTTTGCTGCTGGTTTACTCAGACTGGAAATAAAAAGGAGTGGACATATGCTGTATCTAAAACCAAATGCAGCTTCCCTGCTGCATCGCTGCCAGTCAGTATTTACATAGAAAGGCACCTATTAAAACAACAGTTTTGGTTACAGAATATGGTTCTTTTTTTTTCTGTGAGACACAGCTCTTGTCTATACATAGTTCACACTTCACAGTTACCACCGGATCAATGAATCAGTGAATTAAACTTAAGTCAAGAATCGTATCAATAAATGAATCAATCGTGTTGGGGTACAAATCACACTGAACGATCAGATGGTGTTCAACTTGATGCAAACATCTGTTTACTGTTTCGGAATTAACAGCTAGCTGGAGAGTAAGATTAGTAGTGAATAACTTTTGACAAATTTTGCTCTGATCCTCACACAAAGCTATTATTCTATTAGCTTTTGGCTATCATGACTGCTTCTATCATGATTTTTAACAGCCATGGCCAATGTAATTGCATAGACAGGACCAAATAAAAGTATTAAAAATATCCATATTTTTGTATCACAAAAGAAAAAAATATGGGTTTAGAACTGCATTATTTACGAGAGTAAATAATGAATTTCAGCCAAAAAGCTTCTGCCAGAACTCATCAGAAAGATGGCACAATGGTGTCAGGTGCAGAGTGAAAAGATCACTTTGAGACAACGAGAGGGCTCAAAACGATTGTTCATAACACTGCCATTGTACAGATAGTTTCATCTCTTTCCTTCTCTCTCTCTCTCTCCCTCACACACAAACACACACACACACACACACACACACATCATTGTATATACGAGTGTATTCATAGCACATGAAAGCACTTCGACTACATATGATGCTCTTCCACAAGATGTGGTGCTCTGAAGTTATTACAACGGATTCTATGCCTCGATAATGAGCCAAATGTTCTTCATGTTCCAGAAATATGTGTGTCTGTGTTTTTTGTTCATTGCCAGCAAAAACCACAAAGTTATGTGCCCATTACTACATCCATTTTGTTCTCCCATCATTTCCTTTCTCTGAATTATTTATTTCTAGATTTTTTGGATAAATGCCTATGCCTCCGAATAGAAAAAAAAGAGGAAAACCTTAGCACATTTGCAAGAGTTTCATATTATTCCAAGAGTCTCACAGTACTGAGATATCACTCATTTGAATAATCATTCACTCCACTCTTATAATGAGCAAATTACTTGTGGATTAATGATTACTTGTGGATTCAAGTGAGAAAAAAAAGAAACAGATCTTTCACTTCATTTGACAAATAAATCATGAATCACAATAAATAATAATAAAAAAAAAAAAACAGGTGCTTTTGCGGTTATACTGTATGGTACGAACTACAGTGGCTGTGCTAATCTGTCTTTGATTCTCTAAAATGAACCAGCTCATAAGCATCGTTCTTTTGAGAACTGAACTACACTGATTCACTAGAAAGAACCAACTCATTCAAATCATTTGTTCGGGAATCAGACTATTCTAATAACAAGGCAAATGTTTGATTCACTAAAAACAACCAACTCACTGCAATGATTTGTTTGGGAATCAGACTATACTGGCAGTGCTGCAAGTTAGTAATTCACTTAAAAATAAATTTGTTCGGAAATCAGACTACACTGATTGCTATGTATGCTTTGCGCTGTATTTTAGCATATTCCGCTTCACAAGAGGAAGAATGCATGTGTGAAAACAATGAACTCAGGATTATTTGAAAACAAAACTGGTACTAAATAAGAACTTGATTCTGCTCTACATTACTATATAATACTTTTCACCAACTAATTTTTTCAGTCTTTAGTCCCATGACCAAACTTCCATATAAAGGATGGAATATTTGTCTCTTTCTGCCTACACTATATAACTGTTATCAGTTCAGCATGAGCACATAGGAAGTGGTCCCTGGTGGTCTCCAGGGAGATTTCTGCATGACGACCTTATGGCTGCTCTGCTGTAGCACTGGTGGCAGGTGCAGGGAGGATCAGCTAAGGAGAGATGAACCATTAGAGATATGGCTGGAGACGAGACGCCCCCTTTGTCTGGCAGTGTTCACCAGAGACTATTAATCACTCTGACAACAACAGCTCCACTGAGATAGAGAAAGAGAGATAAAGAAGAGACCTAGAGTTGGCTTAACAAATTAAATGCACTATGCAAACACGGCACTTGGCAACCATTTCTTTGCTAAATGTCGCAATTTTGGCTGTTTTATAATTGCGGGTTTCCAAACTGCAAAGCAATAAGCTCTAATTAACATATTCATTTTACACATTCATTAGCGAGATTTTTTGTCAGCATCTGTTATTATGGAAATGCTAATGATGGATGCAAAACGCAAGACTTTGACATTCGGAGTAAGAGGGGTGACATCACTGCTAATTACACTATAATTTTGGCACGGATGTACACAAATACATTATGGGCTGAAAAAGAGGAAGTGGTCAAAAGTTGTGTATGCTGCTTGTGATGGTGATTGCCTGCTGTATATGTGTGTGCATCCTAATTAAAAATAAACTGTGTTCCCGCAACACACAGGGCTGTCAAAACTGCTACAGATCCTCATAATGAGGAATGTGCTGATACTGACTAGAGGACTATGACAAGGAAAACATGTTTCATGATAACAACATCTCTCCTTTTCTTCCCTGTTCTGTCTTAGAAGATAAAAATACTGTAAAAATGTTCTATCTTCATCTACCATAAAGAAAGAAATCACTGATCAAAAAGAAGAGCTCTTCATTACACATATGCAGCCCTCTGCTTTATGTCAGATGTCATTTGCTTTGCATTTTCTAATCTCTGCAAAGAGCAAGCTGGGGTCAGAACAACAGAAAAATGTGTCCTTTTTAAGTAGGAGAATGTCTTTGGTTTCAACTGTCTTTGGTTGTGAAAGCAAAGGTCGCTCCGCTCAAGAGGGAGAACATTTAGGGGTGGAGAGAAAACTGAACCCTCACTTAACTCTAGCACAAACACATGTTAGCAAAACAATCAAAAAAAGTGTGCAATCTCTAATTTCAACATCCATCCATCCATTCAATATCAGACTGTACCAATATAAGACTATTAGGGATATAAACTAATTTTGTCTCAATGCCACCTATCATGCCATTTAATAATAATAATATTAAATAATAATAATACATATCTTTCTGGTTCTCGAATCTGATTGGCTGAGAGCCTTTACAAGCAGTGCGATATTCTAGTTATAGCAGAATGCCAACTGTTTCATAGAGCTGTGCAAATAATCAAATGCGATGATCATGTGCATCTCGTCAGTAAATCCGGTTCTGTGATTAGTAGTAAATCTCCATCACCTGCTTGCAGATAAAGCGGCATTTACTACACAGAGCCATAGTTCACTGACAAGTTACGCAATATCGTGTTCATTATCGGCGATGTATCACCTGCGATTATGATTCGCGATATTGCGTAACTTGTCAGTGAACTACGGCTCTGTGTAGTAAATGCCACTCCATCTGAAAGCAGGTGATGCAGATTTACTACTAATCACGGAACCGGCTTTACTGACGAGATGCGCATGACAATCGCATGCGATTAATTGCACAGCCCTAGAGTGAACTACGGCTCTGTGTAGTAAATGCCACTCCATCTGAAAGCACTTGATGGAGATTTACTACTAATCACAGAACCGGCTTTACTGACGAGATGCGCATGATCATCGCATTCGATTATTTGCACAACCCTACTGTTTCACTGTTTGTATCACTCCGCTTGCAGTATTTCTCACAACCAGTGTCATGATGGACACTAAAATTCACTATAATTTTTTATAAATAATGCTGTTTTTGTGTCATGAAATGTAGTTTTAAGAGTTTATTAGGCGAGAATGTGGTTTTTGTTAATAAAGATAACACCTATTTGAAAATTTGCTTCAACATTTTCATTTAGTTACATTGTTCCGCCATTAGACGGCAACAAGAGACTGTTTTATGAGTTTGTGAGTTTGCAGTAAAGACTTTTATATTGAAAGAGACTGAAACAGGGTTGTAAACAATGAAGTTATTTTTACTTTCAACAACACATTGTAAGATGCACTGAGCAGGCTGTCATTGGAAAATTCTCTCTGATAATAATCAACATAATACAGAGAGTGTATTATTGTATTTGAATACAGTAATAAAAACTCAGATTTGAATCTTTGGCAGAAGGAATGTGAATCCTTGAATCACAAGGAGCTGGAGCATTGAATCTCTTCAATAGGCAATCACATCAAAGCTGCTTACAATCATGGACAAAAGACAGCGCTAACCCACAGCAGCACAAGCAAACAAACCAAATCAACGGCACGATTCTTACCTTACGCGGGGGCCGTTGCGCAATGGCTCTCGAATGGAACGTCCGGGCAGTGTGCGGCGGTTAGCCGTGGAATAATCAGGCTCTAGGTCATACGGCTCTTCGTCCTCTGGGCCTAGACTGCGGCGGTCGTCTTCTAGGCCGTAGGGTTCGGGTTGAAAGCGCTCAGGCTGAGAACGATTGAGATCCACAGTGCTACTTCCCATTGGGACTTGAGGCTGGGCCACATGGCCATAGTCGTCCTTGCGGATAGGGAGAGTGTAGCTGTTCTCCGGCCGGTATCCACCGGTGGGCATGTAGGGCCGATAGGGCCTGTAACTGACTCCGCGAGACAGACTTCCATAGTTGTCGGCCACGTCTCCATATCCATCGTGAAGGGCGTAATGGCGAAACTGACTGTCAGGAGTGTCATTGTAGGAGTCGCTGTAATTGTTGTACGAGCGTGTGAGGGTGGAAGTGGCCTGGGGTGTGATGAAGCGCTCGCCGTTTTTCATGTAGCGCCGATCAATAGAGTCAGTGTAGCTTCCAAGTGGAGACGAGCCCTCTGGAAGAGGAAGGCCATCGGGACCCAGCGGCACCTGTCGAACTGTCCGTGTTGTCACTGTCTTGACCATCTTAGTGACCTACGATGATGGAAAAAGCAACAGAGTTAGCAGAATTTCAAGTCGCAATTATTGAAGTGAAAGTTTGTGCTTTTTATGCATATAGGCCATGCCTTGCGCATGGCCTATATGTGATATGAGGCCCATTCAAAATGCAGCTGTTATGTCAGATTGCTCAAATCATAGCAGCCAAAACAACCACAGGCATTTATGAGTGAAGTGCAGCACACTGACTTAGTGGTCTAACATCAGCAGGGAAGTGGATGTCACACTGTGCAGTGAAATGACTGAAGATCTTTTCCAGTTTTTTTAAAAGGCTTTGTGTTCATCAGTAACGATACAGCTAGAACTGAAAATATAAGGCTTGTGGGTTCTTGGTGGCAGTTGTTACAAAGTTTCTCATCACAAAAACTTTGTTAACAGTTAAGTAGCAGCAACAAACTGTCTTTACTACTTAAACTAAGGGACTAATGTTATATTTAGCTATAGAAAACATTTCACATGCTATATTATTTTAAGTATTTGTCAGCCCTTATCAACATTAAATGCTGTCCAGTTGTCATTTTGGCTTTTTTTTTTTTTTAATAAATTATTATTTGTATTCAGCAAGGATGCATTAAATTCATCAAAACATTCTGACAGTAAAAGCTTTTATAATTTTACCAAAAAATCATTTTAAATAAATGCTGTTCTTTTAAACTTTCCATCCATCAAACTATCCTGAAAAAAATGAGAATGAAATTGAAATGAAAGTGAAATACATATAAATCAACTTTTTTGAAGTATGTCAGTTACATTTCATTTTATTACTGGTTTGTTTAAAAATATATTCACTTTTTCAAATGTGATCAAAAATATTAAAATTATATCAGTTAATATGTTTACAAACTCAAAATAATTAGCCATTTCAAACATTAGTTCTTATTTCAACATTTACTAGTATTTTGCTTACATAGACAACTTTCTATCTAAACTTTCTTGACTAATGGGGCAGCATTTCATTGTCAACAAGAACTGCTACTGCTGCATTGTTGCCATTTATTTGACTTTTTTACTAAATGAGGGACTAACTTTCAACACACCCTTTAGAGGAATCTTTAAGTAAACCATTACCACATACTAAAAGAGAACAGTGTAAATGACAACAGTAAATCAATCAACATAAGAACTGCCACCAGACTACATGGACCTGAGTGATGTTCTAGTTCTCTGTGTCTATCACAGGGCACTGACGTCTTTATGACTCAAGTTAAATAAATCACTATTCCCCTCTGAGTGCTAATCCAGTCTCTTATTCTACAAATGTCTGCCTGTCAAGAGGATGGAGTGCTGCTGCTCCTGAAGGTTCAATGCTGATACAGAAACCAATTTGCTGCTCAGTGAATTTCCGCAAAGCAATTAATTGGCTATTTTGTCCATGGCTGTAAATTCATCTTGGAAATGAATGAGCTTGATAAAAATTAATCGTCATTGGAGATGAACCACGATTGCGTGAATTTGTGTGTGAACCCTTACAAGCCACATGGCCAGTTGTCAGTGCGTAATATCACAAGGGATGTGTCTATGTCTAAAGGGGGGAAAGATCTGTAACCACAGTCACAGCTATTTCACTTTTACAGACCTCAGTATGTGTTTAACTAATGGAGTACGCAGCTTTTTTGGGGAACTGCAGTTAATTTTAACAAACATCATTAAGATCAAAGCAGCGATCTCACTGATGGCAATTTAACTGAGGGAGGTCGACAAACTGCTATACGGTTGTTTGCAAGTAGGCATTTACACTCGATTGCAGTATCCGACTGTATTTATGAGGTGAATTACATGTGCAGCTGTAAGGAGAACTGTCTGCACTCCTACTGGTTGTTGTCAGTGTTGCTACTTTGTTGCATCGCCAACTGTCTCTGTTGCTCATGCTGTCTCAAACCGGCAACTCAAATAAATGACTAAGTTGCTCCGTTTCTAGTCGCTGTCAGTGTGAACACCCCTTAACACCCACACATGAAGTTAACATGTTAAAACAGACACCAAAGTGAGATGCAGAGGAGATGCAGAAATCATGCTTCAACAATGAATTTTGAATTGGGTTCTCATTATAATCTTTATTTGATTTTTCTTGATGAAAATTATAAAATATACTTATTTGTGTTCATTTAGTGAAATACTGTTTCAAATACGCCTTTTTACTGATAACTTGCATTAAAAAACTAAATGTTAATCTTTTAATCTAAAAATGTGTGTGTGTGTGTGTGTGTGTAAATAGGCGAGTTTAAAGATTTTAAAAAGTTAGAAGGACACTGAGGCTTATATTTAGACTGAGCTTAACCACCAAGGCTACTGTTGCCTCTAATGAAAGGTATCTATCTGTGTTTACTAATGTCCGCCCGTTAAAAGGTGCATGCAGGCGTCATGGCCAGATTTTACAGTTCTATATAGGTTTTATGATCTCCCTGGTATTTAGGTTTACAGACCGCTGCCATACCAGCTGTGAGTTACAGACACACTTAGTGAGACTTAGTGAGATGGGAGGCAGAGACACGTCAACCAGAAGCACTCTTTACTGGTTTTGTTTCAGATGGTGTTGGTGTAGATGGAGGTACGGGAGTAGATGGTTTGGACTCTATCAGGATCACTGGTTGGAAGGTTCGGCGTGTGATGGTTTTAACCACCTTGATCACCTACAGTGAAAGTATGTTAGTTCAGGAGGCATGAGTTAGAAAAGTATACAGCGATATGGAAACGTCAAGTCTTATAACAGAAATGAAAGGGAAACAGTTAAATGAAAGTAGGACTTTTCCCATGAAGCCTTGTTAATAGTCCAGAACAGTCCAAAACACAAACTGGGCCAGGGAATTAATTTTTGATGTGAATTATCTGGCTAAACAAGAAAACATAAGAATGCCTTTGAGACAAAATATTTTTTTATTGTCTCATTTTGTCCCTCACAAAAGAGTAATTCCAGCATTTAATAGAAAATTAATAGAAAAGCATTTAATAGCAGGAGGAAGCTGGACGGTTTCCAAGAGGAGAAAACAGAGAAGCAGAGAAGGAAACACAAGATATTACATCTGAGGCTTCTACACATAAGCTGTTTAACTTTTCAACTAAAGGAATGCTCAAAAAATTATATTTATTTGGCTACTAATTTTATTAGACACAATTTTAAGTAACCTTTGAGCATCAAATCAGTACATAAGTCAGTCTGTGATGTTTCTAGTCTCTAATCTAGCAATTTAGTCATTCTATATTGCTAACTAACCATTCATACACAGTTACAGATATCTTAACATTCTGTATAAAGCAAATTTCGCTACACTAAAATAAACTTTTATACCAATAAAGTCTGTTTGAACATCCCGTGCCTTCGGTTTTAAAATAAAAATGGCTTCTGATGAAGTGACTGATTGAAGTAAATTAATTAATCAATATCCATTTTTCAAATATGTTTCATATAATTCCAGTTCTATCAATAAATAAGCAGTGTAGCTGTAATATTTTCTTGGTTATCTCCACAGCTCAACTGAATTTGATCAAGATCATTAGATGTAATGAAATGGTGCCATTTCTTTAGGAAGTACATTGATGCTGACTGTGAATGTAAAGGTACTTCCTTTGGTTTCAAATACACCGAGGGTGTAACGGAATGCATAGCTTTTATCCTACACACCCAGAGCTCTGCGGCTGGAGTTGATGTATTTACATGACTATAAACTTGTCTCCGCAACCCCGATATCAGCCCAAACACAACAACGTGACAGAAGGACCCACAAATCTGTACACACATGCACCTCACGCTCCGTGATGTTATTCCTTCGTGTGCTTCATAGGTTTGGCAGTGTGTGAGTGGTGTAATGGTGAGAAACAGTGCAGCAGTAAGACCATACTTTTACCCTTCACTTCCTCCCACTTATGCATCAACTGTCAGTTGTGTTACACTGTAGGACAGAGCTGTTTCTATTTGCACATTGGTTAATGCTTGTGCATTCATACAGCTGCTTGTTTTCGTGTGCACACTGATACTGTATGTATTGTACACTTTACATAATCCCTTTCTCATAAGTTTACATGCCCTTTGCAGAATATATAAGATGTTTTGGAAAATAAGAGATCACATTTTTTTTTGTACTGCCTCAGAAGCGGCATAGCCGCTATTTAAAGTTGTAATGTAATCAAAGTAGTGACAAATCTTTTCTTCTAAATTGTGAAATACATTGGTAAAAAAACAATAGGGTGGGGACTTGGCATAATCCATCAGTTATTGATTAGATGGAGGTAGATTTAAATGCAAACTTGCAGTCATTTGTATGAAAGTGATGGGAGTCTAAATGATTGGAGAAATCTGGCATATATAACCAAAGAAAAGTCTGTAGTTTCACCAAAGGTCAAGTTACTACTAATACTAATTTTACTAATACTATTACTAATTTTTGTTGTGATACAAATTTTTTAGCTAAAAAAAAGCATGAATATATAAACCATTCACAACAAAATCAATAAGATGCATTTAGAAAACTGTGTGAAGTTCCATTTCATGCTAGTTTTAAGTGTTCTTACAAAAGACAAAATAACAATGAAAATGACACAAATCAAGTTTACATACTCTCGGTTCTTAATATAGGAGTCCCTCAATTGTTCCTAGTGGCAAATTAGATTGAGTTCCATTGAGTCACCTGCTTTTTTATAATATGTTTAGTGTTTATAATGTTTATATACTATATGTTACCCAGGCTGTGAAAACCCAGCTAAAGTCTAACGTTTTTTTTTGTGATTTACTGTTTTCTACATAAAATCATCCTTCATAAGGTAAACAACATTCTGCGAAAATGTAACCTTGATATCTTTAATATTGACTGAGTAAGGCCATGTCAAAGATTGAAATCGTAATGAAATTAATGGTTGAAATCAAACTTTGATGCTTGTTATCTCATAATTAGATTCTGAGACTTTAGCCTGGATTTGACAGAGAGGGTCACGTATGTTTTTCCTCAATTAAAATTCAAAAATGCAATCCGAATGCAATGTTTACATGTACCTTCAACTCTGCAATCAAATAGCATATCTGTTTAGAACCACATGTATTCCAAACAAAGGTTCTGCGTTCACACAATGCAACATTTAGTTTCAATGTTTCCATAGCAACGAGAAGCTCCTGTCTAACAATATGGCAAAACAGCTGTCTGCTCATGTTATCATCATCGTCACTATCATCAGGGCAGTATTTTTTTTATGCAATTTGAATGATCTCTCAAATTTTTATTTTTATAAATGATAAACATTTAGCAGAATCTGCAAGGGGTATGTAAACTCATGAGCAGGACTGTAGCAGTAAAGGGCGTTAAGAGGTGACCGCTCTGCCAAATGAAGCTTTATGCAGTGATTTCAGACTAACGCTGAGATGCTGTGCATTGCTGAGCTTCAATGGGCACAAATAATGGTGACTGACAAGAGGCGTGTGTGAGAAAGCGTATGTGAGGGAGAGATTTTAACTCACCTTCATATTAGTCACATTGTCCTTTTACAAACAACAAAACAAAAGCAAAGACAAATCAAGACCTTGTGGCTTATAAAACTACAACATGAATAGATCTAAACAGAGCTATTACTATTACTGAGAATGTTTCTCTTTAGAATATTAGGAGCAACATTTTTATTTCTTGAAAGCCCTCAACTTTTTAGCCTTTTAACGTATTTTGTTATGTGTTTTTGCAAACTCTCTCAGGTTCAATACAGCTGAGCCTTGTTACTGGTAAAGAGGCACTAGTCTGCCATGTTAATCCCTCTGTCTGATCACTAAAGAGCTGATTGGGTGAAACTAAACACTCGCTCGTTCTAGAACCCTCTGACTACTGTAAACCACATCAAAACACCTCTCTCTATTCTCCCTGGACAAAAGCTTTATACCAGTGTTGTTGTTGTTTTTAAAGCTGCAGTCTGTAAGTTTTGCCTCTTTGTCGCCATCTCTGTTTGAAAACCTGCAATTGCAGCTGTCTGCGGAATTATCTAGCTTGCATGGGTTGTGAGTCGGCACGGCTCTAGCGCCGATGAATCTAATGTTTTGAGGAGTATGTGTGGCAGTCAGTCACCACACCGGTGTGGATATTCACTGTACTTCAGAATCACAGATTCTAGCCTACATCTTGGAATATATGACCCAAATAAGAATTTTCACCGTATATTATCATCTGAACAAGCAAGTAACAAGTCTGCCACATTTGTTCTGACCAACTGAGAAAAAAAGCATTACACTAAATCGCGCTACCAATGGTGATTTAATCTAAATTAGCTCATATCACATCAAACCGTGCAAATTGTTATTATTGTTATACTTTGTTCTCAAATTGTTCATGTTAACAACATCAGTATTACGTGACTATGTGAATATAGTGTGTATAAGCAAGTAGATTTCAATTTCTGTACAGTCTAATCTGTAATTGTCAAACCACTCGAATTTCATATTAAGAAATTATTTTAACCCAAAAAGCAAATTATGCTCCCTTCGAACTGGTTTTCTTTAAAATACTAATCTTGTGTAATCCCAGGCTATCTGTAATCAGAAGCACATTTAAAACTGGAATATAATTTAATTTCACGTGTTTCATAAACACATAGTCCTTTCTGGAATACAATCCGCTATTAAAATGATACATTTAATTATTCCAGCTGCTGTGAGAAAAGGCTATAAACAATTCGCCACCTGCAGGATCCTCACATGCGATATAGCCTACTAGCCGGGACAACAACTTTATGTTTACAGACGTGATTAAATGATGCGGCGGCATGCTCGAATTTCCCGCGAAAACCTTCCCGTACCACTCAAATTAGAAAACATTATTATAAGCTAACCGTTGTGAAACAGGCTAAAGTAAGGCGATTGTTTTGAACACTAGCTGGTTATGTACTTGCTCAAATAACTTCGGACTGCAGCTTTAAGCAATATTTTACAGGCTCATTTCTGTACTGTTTTCGTCGCGTTCGGCGCTACTTGCGCGTCTTTTCTGGCGTCTTCCTACTGAAATAAACATTTAGTGCAGCATGTGAGGAAAATATGATGAATTCATTCAGACCTGAGCGATTTGACTGATTTTGTGTGATTGTGTCGATGTTTGAAGTGAGAACTGTAAATGTCAAGTCAAAAGTCAAAGTTTGAGATCTGTGAGGACATTTACATTTACATTTACATTTACATTTACATTTAGTCATTTAGCAGACGCTTTTATCCAAAGCGACTT